AGATATAAGTCTGTCGAGTTCAGCCTTTCTCACATTTGATTGTTGCTGTTGATAATAATAAAAAAAAAAAGCAAAAACCCAAATTGGAATACTTCCAATTTTGCAACAAACAAGAAAAGAAAATCTTTCTTGACCTCAGAATGGCAGTCAGATATCTCATTGGATCAAGAGCTATTACCCCACTCATTAAAAATTATATCCCTGTATATTATACAAATATGCAAATGTTAAAGAAAACATTTATTTACATTTGAATAATTATATACTATCAACTGTTTTCCTTTTTCGAATGATTAATGTAACAAAGAGATTAGAGATAATCAAGATTTTCTTTATCTGTTGGTACAAGCCCTTGCATCCTGAACTTCCAGCAAATAATTGAACCTTTTGCTATTTTGAGACATATGTTAAATGGGTTTGTGTTCTGTATCTGCTTAATTGATTACACAGCAAACAGACAATTCCTTAGATGATGGGGAGACATATGTTCTTTTAATGTAAAAGGATAAAAAAGTATGTCTGTTTGACTTTTTTAATTATCTGGTAAGCTGTAAGGTAATTAGATTTAATTTAGGTTTTTACCGATTCATTGAATCCTTGTTCTATTTTTAGCATCTTTTCATCAATGATCTAACAATTATTTGCATTACTAGTACCGAGAGAAACACTACTAAATTCCCCTGTGGAGTTTCAATGAATGACACTAGAATTCTGCATTATTTTGTCACTAATGATATAACTAGGCAGTTGACCAGGCACATGAGCACATGACAATAGCCAACATGATAACTCCCCACAGTAAAAATCCCTTTGTTACAAATGCTCACATTAAAAATTACCACATGGAATATCACTCATATAGATAATTGCTCACAGGGTAGAATGCTCACGTGGAAAAATCCCCACATGGAAAGAGGTTCAAATGAATTAATGCTCATACAGGTAAAGCTCACACATATAATTGTTGGTGTTGTGGAGACAGGCTCAGGCACTGAGGATAGTAGTGTTGTAGAGACAGGCACTGAGGGTAGTGGTGTTGTGAAGACAGGCTCAGGCACTGAGGGTAGTGGCGTTGTGGAGGCAGGCTCAGGCACCAAGTGTAGTGGTGTTGTGGAGACAGGCTTAGAGACTATAGTGAGGCCTAATAGAAAGCAGTTGTTGTTGGGGGATTCTATCATAAGAGGTATGGAGATGGATAATGGTGGTCTTGTGAGGTGTCTTCCCAGAGCTACTGCTCACAGAGGCAGGAGACGTATTTGTAATATTGTTAAGAAAGCAAAGCAGGAAGGGGAATTGTATGTACTTGTCCATCCAGGGACAAATGACTTGGCTTGCAATGAGGTTTCAGAGGTAAAGGAAGTTTTTAGTGTTTTTGCCAATGATATATGGCAGGTTGCTTCCACACTGTCATTCTCTGAAGTTCTGCCTGTGCATAACACTCAAAACGACAGGCGGATGCGTATAAGGGACTTTAACTTGTGGCTTGGTGAATGGTATCGGGAGCAAGCATTTGGCTTTATTTCTCAAGGTATCTCTGTTTGGAATGGAACTAAACTGTACAAAAAAGATGGTTTGCATCTTTCTCAAAAGGGAACAAATGTTCTCATTGAGCAGTTCAGAGGTTTTGATAGGATGTAGTTAAACTAGGAGGGGGTGAGGGGGGCAAAAGAGTAATAAAATATCAATCCAATTGCCCCCTAAAACAAGGACAGAAGGTGCCTGTAGCAAATGTGTTAAAACATTATAAGCTTAGAGGCATGTCTACAAATGCTCGCAGTTTAGGGAAAAAGATCCATGAACTTGTGGCAATAATGGCAACTGATAATGTAGATTTAGTCGCTGTTACTGAGACATGGTGTAATGAGAAAAATGACTGGGAAATAGTAATACCAGAATCCTCTTTCTATAGAAAAGACAAGGAAGGCAAGAAAGGGGGAGGAGTGGCCCTGTATGTGAAGGATAGCATAAAATCTAGCCTAATAAAAGTTAGTGAGGCGAACATAGAGTCTGTTTGGGCTACGTTAGAATATGGTAATCACAGAGTAACTCGTGTAAGTGTGATTTATAGGCCTCCAGGACAAATAGAAGAATTAGATGATCTACTAGTTGAGGAAATAGCTAAAATGACAATAAAGGGGGAAGTTATCATCATGGGTGACTTTAATCTTCCTGATGTGAATTGGAAAACCAAAATAGCTGCTTGTGCCAGGAGCACACATATTCTAAACTTCCTACTGGGATTGTCTCTAAAACAAGTCATTGAGGAGCCAACTCGTAACGAGGCCATACAAGATTTAGTGTTAACAAATGGAGATTTGATATCAGATATTACTGTAGGTGAAAGTTTATGATCCAGTGATCATCAGTCAGTGTGGTTTAATATGAGAACAGTGACTCACACCACACAAAAACAAAAGTTTTAGACTTTAGAAAAACAGACTTTTCTAAAATTAGACTATGTGTAAAGGAGTCATCAGATGAAAATGAAGGCAAGGGGCCTCAGTTAGGAAAAAGGACAAATTAGTAATTAGTTACATGCTATGTTCGCCAGGAACCGTTCGCCGGCGAACCGTTCGGTACATCACTAGTAAAGATAAATAAGTCAATGGGACCTGATGGAATACACCCAAAGTTATTAAATTAGCTTAGTGGTGTACTAGCAAAGCCATTAACAGATTTATTTAACCAATCATTGCTAACAGGAGTAGTCCCAGAAGATTGGAAGTTAGCAAATGTTGTGCCCATTCACAAGAAAGGTAGTAGGGAGGAGTTGGGCAACTATAGGCCAATAAGCCTTACTTCAGTAGTGGGGAAAGTAATGGAAACCATGTTAAAGGATCGGATTGTTGAAGATCTAAAAACACATGGATTTCAAGATCAGAGACAACATGGGTTTACTTCAGGAAGATCATTCCAAACTAATCTTATTGATTTTTTTTAATCTAAAATAAAAGATCAGGGTGGTGCAGTAGACATTGCTTACCTAGATTTCAGTAAGGCTTTTGACACTGTTGCACATAGAAGACTTATCAATAAATTGCAATCTTTAAGTTTGGATTCCAATATTTTTGAATGGGTAAGGCAGTGGCTGAGTGACAGGCAACAGAGGGCTGTAGTCAATGGAGTATATTCAAAGCATGGTCTTGTCACCAGTGGGGTATCTCAGGGATCTGTACTTGGACCCATTCTCTTTAATGTTTTTATTAGTGATATTGCAGAAGGTTTTGATGGTAAGTTATGTATTTTTGCTGATGATACTAAGATATGTAACAGGGATGATGTTCCAGGAGGGATAAGCCAAATGGCAAATGATTTAGGTAAACTAGAAAAATGGTCAGAATTGTGGTAACTGACATTTAATGTGGATAAGTGCAAGATAATGCATCTTGGATGTAAAAACCCAAGGGCAGAGTACAGAATATTTGATAGACTCCTAACCTCAACACCTGAGGAAAGGGATTTAGGGGTGATTATTTCTGATGACTTAAAGGTAGGCAGACAATGTAATAGAGAAGCCAGAAATGCTAGCAGAATTCTTGGTTGTATAGGGAGAGGTATTAGCAGTAGAAAGAGGGAAGTGCACATGACATTGTACAGAACACTGGTGAGACCTCACTTGGAGTATTGTACGCAGTACTGGAGACCGTATCTTCAGAAGGATATTGATACTTTAGAGAGAGTTCAGAGAAGGGCTACTAAACTGGTTAATGGATTGCAGGATAAAACTTACAAGGAAAGGTTAAATTAACTTAACACGTATAGCTTGGAGGAAAGACGGGGGGATATGCTAGAAACATTTAAATACATAAAGGGAATCAACACAGTAAAGGATGAGACTATATTTAAAAGAAGAAAAACTACCACAACAAGAGCACATAGTCTTAAATTAGAAGGGCAAAGGTTTAAAAATAATATCTGGAAGTATTACTTTACTGAGAGGGTAGGTGATGCATGGAATAAGCTTCCAGCTGAAGTGGTAGAGGTTAACACAGTAAAGGAGTTTAAGCATGCATGGGAGATGGGCCGAATGGTTTTTATCTGCCGTCACATTCTATGTTTCTATATTTCTATGTTTCTATGTTAATTGTAAACACATACAAACAATCATCCCTGGTTGTCAGGAGTCCTTATAAAATATATTTTCTTAACAGCTCAATATTTAGCATTTGCCCCAAATAGTTTAGGTAAAAGAAGTATGGGTCAGGGGCCTAGAAAGCCCATTCCTAGAAAACTGCCTGGGGCTACTCTTAGAGATAAGGGTATTGTACAGCAACCATGGCAAAGGCTTCTGGGGGCACAGTGCTTGTGGCAAGTAAATAAAACATTTTTTAAACACAATTTATTGGCCACAAGCTGCACCATAGCATTGCCAGTATTAACCATAGCACAGCAGTGGCCCTTCCACATCGGGTGCATGTGTGTGTTCATGTGGGTGCCAATGTTTTGTGTGCGTTGATTCATGTGTGTTTAAAACCTGCTGACTTTGCATGCACAGGTGGGTGTCTGAGTGCTTCAATGTGTATATATGTGTGCTGTTATGCACTTGTGGGTGTAAATATTTGTGGGTGCCACATTGGAATTAAGTGGTCTGGGTGCCAATGGTGGTCTTTCAAGCTGATCTTTCAAGCTGATTATCACCTCACAGTACCTCAGTATTGGTGAATCCCATTTTTAAAATGTAAAGTGTACTTAAGTTATATCTTGAATTGCTACAAGAAGTTCTCCTTAAAATAATTTTTTAGGGAATTTATTTTTGATACACTTACTAAGAGGCACCAGTGTGGCCAAGGATAGGATGCTTAATTCAAAGAGTCTAGTGTGCTTTTGCCACCCAGATTGGAATATATTTACATTTGTGTAACTGTAAATTTATGCATTGGTATTTGTGGAAGTGTAAACATGTGGAAGTATAAATGTCATGTTTTATTTGTAGCTAGAGAGGGTATTGCTATGTTTTTAGTATCATAATATATTTTAGTGCAAATATATTTTAGTGCAATATATTATTTGTTTCAAGAAATTATGCATTTAGCCTCTTTGTACTTATATTACAAAGAGGCTAAATGCATAATTTCTTGAAACAAATAATATATTGCACTAAAATATATTTGCACTAAAATATATTATGATACTTACAGCATCTCATAACTCTTCATCAAACAATTCGTACTTGTTCAACATCATGTTCCAGTCTCCATAGGTATTAATCATTCCCACTTACCAAACTTGTGAATTTATCATTGTTCAATTAGTTGTATTGTTTAAAAATAAACTTTTTAAAAAATCAAGTATACCACCAATAATTTTTTGATTCACAACATTTATTACTAGGTTGAATCCACATCTACAGTTGATAAATCAAAAAATATATCATTTTTCATGTCGCAAAGAAAAATTTGAATGAAATATGTACAAGTTACATTAATGTAAAAACACAGGGGTGAATATTGCACAGTGGATTGCTTGTTTTGCTATTTATTTGTTTTCATTTTTATCTTCCAGACATATTATTTGCAATAGTTTCAGGACATACAGATGAAATGCTGTTCATAATGGTAAATAGCAGCATGATTACTATGCAACACAATTAAAATTTTGAGAAGAAGACAGTGAACATTATTCACAGAAAACTATTAATTCATGTGGGTTCTGTACTACATTTAAACTCTCTCATATGGTTTAGTCATACTGTATATTTTTGTTTTTAATTTTATTATTATTTAATTAACCTGAACTCAAATTAATAATAAAAATAATTGGATTCTATGACAATTGTCACCAATTCGTTCACAGAACAGTGAGGTATAATAAGGTGACAACCTATTTGGAACTTTTAGATAAATGGTATAGAGGGACTTTTTTCCAGCTTAATGTTTTTACTATCCTTCTGCAAACTGGTTGTCATGTCACTACAACTTACTATTTAATAATTAAACACCAACTGTTTGACAAGACTGCAGTATGTTCAAGGAAACACCAATTGAAAAGAAATAAACTGCAATAAATTAACCCAAGGGAATGACCTTCAAATTTAAACTATTTGGGGCAAATGCTAAATATTGAGCAGTTAAGAAAATATCTTTTATAAGGACTCCTGACACCAGGGATGACATGACCTTACCCTAACAAACTCCTGACTTAGTTCATTTGTGAATTGATTACATATTAAAAAGCTGTCATTTATAAAACCTTCCTCCGATCTGTACAGTCAGGTCCATAAATATTGGGACATCAACACAATTCTAATCTTTTTGGCTTTATACAACAACACAATGGGTTTGAAATAAAAGAAACAAGATGTGCTTTAACTGCAGACTTTCAGCTTTAATTTGAGGGTATTTACATCCAAATCAGGTAAACGGTGTAGGAATTACAACAGTTTGTATATGTGCCTCCCACTTTTTAAGGGACCAAAAGTAATGGGACAGATTAACAGTCATAAATCAAACTTTCACTTTTTAATACTTGGCTGCAAATCCTTTATAGTCAATTACAGCCTAAAGTCTGGAATGCATGGACATCACCAGAAGCTGGGTTTCATCCTGGCCTCTACTGCAACTGTCTTCAGTTCCTGCTTGTTCTTGGGGCATTTTCCTTTCAGTTTGGTCTTCATCAAGTGAAATGCATGCTCAATCGGATTCAGGTCAGGTGATTGACTTGGCCATTGCATAACATTCCACTTCTTTCCCTTAAAAAAACTCTATGGTTGCTTTTGCAATATGCTTTGGGTCATTGTCCATCTGCCTTGTAATGCGTCGTCCAATGAGTTCTGAAGCATTTGGCTGAATATGAGCAGATAATATTGCCCAAAACACTTCAGAATTCATCCTGCTGCTTTTGTCAGCAGTCACATCTTACAATACAAGAGAACCAGTTCCATTGGCAGCCATACATGCCCACGCCATGACACTACCACCACCATGCTTCACTGATGAGGTGGTATGCTTTGGATCATGAACAGTTCCTTTCCTTCTCCATACTCTTCTCTTCCCATCACTCTGGTACTGTGTGTCAGTTTGTGTGTGTCTGTCAGTGTGTGTTTCTGCGTGTTTCTGTCAATGTGTGTGTGTGTGTCTGTTAGTGTGTGACACACAAGTCGGTGGGAGAGACACCTGTAGAGGTGGAGGGGTTTGGAGGTGTGAGAGATCCTTGGGGCATGGACACATGAAGGGATTGGGGGTGGGAAAGACACATGGGGTGGAAGAGACACATGATGAAGTGGTTGGGGTTCGGAGAGACACATGGGGGTTGGAGAGACATATGAAGTGGTTGAGGGGGAATGAGATATGTAAAGTGGCTGGCGGGGGGAATGAGACACATGGAGGGCTGGTGGGGGGGATGAGATGCATAGAGTGGCAAGGGGGGGTGAGACACGTGGGGGTGCCTGGCAATGTTCTCACTGGGGCCCGGTGATTTCTAGTTAGGCCTCTGGGTGGGGACATTCAGTCAAAATGAGCATGTAATAAACATTCTGTTCAATCTCACTTTCCCAGGAACTATTAGAATATTTTACATTTTCATCAGCATTAATACTAAATACCTGTTAATGTCCATAGTTTTCTAGTGGCAGTCCCTATCCTATGCTTGTCCCTGAATTCTGCTAACACTGTTGAGTTATTTATTATTTTTAAATGTTGCACCAAGCAATATATATGTAGTTATGTATATCTGTCAGAGATAGAGCTGCTTTAGTGCTGAGGAAGCATTGGGGTGGTTAATACAAACATGGAGCAAATGATTAACCAAGTCAAGTATAAAAGCATTACTGCAAAGCATACAAATAATGGGAAAAAAAGGGTAACAAATTACACATCATAACAAAAAGGATGTGATATTTAGGAGCTTAAACAAAAGAAAAGAAACTATGGGTATTTGGGAAATCGGGACAGGGCTCTTGAATGTTCTGGATAAAGATATCTGAAAAAACGTTGGATACAGGCCTATGGGATATTCACAGCAGAGGACTCTGGGATAATCTATAAACAGATTCTAAGTTCTCAAGAAACAGGGAAGACTTGTGCACGAGCTTGGTCCACACCTTCAAAATCACAGATTGTAGGTTAGGCAGCTGCCTTTTTTTTGTTTGCTTATTTTGTTTTTATTGAGTTTTATCACTTCAATATGTGCAGATGTATAGGTACATTACAGACAGGTCACATTGTATTCAATATGTTGGGTCACAGTTACACAGCTACAGTCAGGCTTAACAGGAGTATAGTAGCGTTCAAAAAATGGTTTCAATGATGATGCATTACAGGAAGTATAAAACATCTATTCATGTAAAAACCTTGGTGTGTACTTAGAGTGTGTTGTATTGTTAACGTGGGTGTTGGAGAAACTGTATAGGCAACCAGGTCATGAAGTTGCAATAACGGTTTGTAGGTAATTGTGAGCCATCCCTAGGTACCAGAGATGGAGTTGGAAGTGATCTCCCCTCCTGTTCTCATGTCTGTGGGTGCTGCACTTATATATAAAAAAAACACTAATAACTGAAGAATAACAGATTATGTGGAATATATTCAAAGAGAGTAAGAAAAATAAAAATAAACCTTAATGGTAGTCTGGTTGGTTGCAAGCAGATTTTTCGCAAGTGCATCGTGTATCCTGCATAATGCTTATATTAGTCGAGATCTTCTACATTTCCTTGCGGAACAGTATTGCCTTAATTGCCAGGGGCACCATGCACGTGTTGGCTATTTTGGGTTATTCCCGACGTCACCTTTGTCAGTGCTTGTGATAGGTTGTATCTTACACTGGGATAAGTGTTTGAGCCAAGGTTCCCATATGAGTGGATACCTCATTACGTGACCTGATAGGGAGTATCTTATCTCCTCCATAATTCTAATGTGTTCTACCCTAGAAAACCAATTAATTAGGGCCTTGTCCGCTGTCAATAGGAAAAATTCTAATGCGTTGCGGTAAATTTTAAGAGATTTTGGGGAGTGGTGTATGAAGATCTCTTAGAAGGAGTGTGATTTCAATATTTTAGTTAAGGTGGTTATCACAGTGATAATAGTGTTCCAGAAGGTGCGCAGTACAGGACAGTCCCACCAAATATGCTGGTATGTGCCTTTATCCCTCTCGCACCTGTAGCACTGGTCTGGTACTAGGGGGTGTATGTGCTGAAGTCATATGGGTTTTGTACCATTTAGTGATCAGTTTGTAATTGGTTTCGACTAATAAGATATTTAGAGAGTTTTTGTAGGTGGTATGGAATATTTTGTACCAATCAGATGGTAAAAGTGTAATTCCTAATTTGTGGTTCCAATCTTCCATGTATTTGGGTAGGGATTTTGTAGGCTGTGTCCTGTATAATTGGTTGAATTAAAGAAAGATACTTTTTCAATGTTAGAGGTTTTCAAGCACCAGGTCTCAAATGTGGAGTAAGGGAGGGACAAATGTAGGTTCTTGGTTGTGAATACAAATTGAGTTAATTGAGTTAATTGGTCGTACCAGAATGTGTCCATGAATGTTGGCTGTTCCTGGAGGCAGAGTTCAGTGAGTGGTCTGATGTTCCCGTCTTCAGTTATATCTGTGGGAGATGTGTAGGCTTTGGCCAGGGAGTGCCTGCAATAAAGGACAGAATCTATGGACAAATATCTTCCAAAGGTGTAATAGTGTGCTTATAGTAGGGTGTTGCTTAGAGCAGAGGTGGGAGGAGGGCTCCACCTGCCATGGTACATGGTACCTGCCATGGTACAGAGGCCAGCGGCATATCTATCTGTTCCATATTTCTCCAATGTTTAGCCATCTGTTCGGCAACCATTCCAGTATTCTGGTGAACTGTGTGGATAAGTAGTATTGAAAAGGGTCAGGCAGGCCCAGCCCTCCCCTTGTCTTGGGCCTTGTAACAGTTTACCAGGAGTTGGATCCCAGTTCCAGGAGATGGCACAAGGAGGAGGTAAAAACCAAAAACACAGTACAGATAAAGGGGTAATCCAAAGGCAGGGTCAGACGAGAAGCAGAAGTGAGGGCTGGCAGCGAAATATCATAATCAGTAAGGCAGGCAGAGGTCAGGAAATCAGTCAGCAGAGAAACAAAGATCCAGTAGGAAACACCAAACAAACAAAATGACCAGATACCAGGTC